GTGCCCCTTCCCAAGCTGCTCGTCCCCCTGTGCTCACCATTCCCGCCAGCGCCAGCAGTGACACCTGCACCTGGGTCAGGTTCCCGCTCTCAAAAAGGTCGTTGGCTTCGAAGAGGTCCACGGGGTTCATGCCGTAGCTGGCCATGGCCTTGATGAAGTTGGAGAGGTTCTCGAGCTGCAGGGAGGGGGAGAGGGATGAGCCCCGGTGGGTGACCGCAGAGGGACAGTGGGTGGGTGGCAGCAGGGCTGCACTTACCTGGTGCCAGTTCTGAGCTGAGCGGTTGATCTTCCTCACCGAGTTGGGCTGCAGCTTGTTCATGAGCCTGGAGGGAGGCAGGGGGATGTGGGGCTGCAGGGCATGGGCCCCTTTCAGGAGGATCCAGCCCAGGCCTCCCCCATGTGATGCAATTCCTTGCCCAGGTCCCTGTTGGTCCTCAGGGCTCTCCACAGACAGAGACCCTTTGGGGGTGACCCAGCAGGTCCCACTGGTGCAGATCCAGCCCACCCTTTCCACCCCAAAGGCTGGCAGGGGTCCCCTGGAGGGCTGGTGTTCCCCGTCCCCACCCAATCCGGGACTCACTCGCAGAGGATCACCCCGTCCTTCAGCCCCTTCTGGAAATCAGGCCCGATCTGCTGCCCCGTGACGCTCTCGATCCACGTCCGCAGCTCAACCTCCTTCTGCGGGTCATACTTCTGGGCAAGCTGGAGGGGGTGGGTGAGGGCAGCTCAGGCACAGCCCTGTGTGCACCCCAAACCCCTCATGGGAACAGTTCCCCCCTCCCCAGGATGGGAATGGGGACAGGAGGATGATGCTGCCATCAGACACGGCAGCTTCTGAACCATTCCAAAAGGATGAGGAGGAACTGCCTGTGGGGGCCAGGGAGAAGTGCCCCCTCCACGGGTCTGTCCCTCCCTGTCCCCTGGAGCCTGCGGGAGCCCAGCTCCAATCCCCAGGGGTCTGGCCACGAGCTGCTCTCCCTTCCGGCAAAGCCCAACAGCCGCCGCAGATTCCTGGTCACCGCGGCTATGCCAGGAATGTGGACGCCTCCTCCCAAATGGAGACCAGCTGCCAGGGCCGGCAGCATCTCCGCCATCGGCATCTTGCCTCGGCCCTGGCCCATGAGGCAAGAGAAAGGCATCCTGTCCTGAGGTGGAAAGAGCCTGGAAGCCCCGAGTGCTGTCCTGCCCCGGCCCCGTCCCTCCGATGCTCAGCCAGCACCCAGAGGTGGCCTCAGGGCACCCACCGACCTCTCGCCCATCCAGTCCTCTCCTGCTCCCGTTATGTGGGGGGGCCATGAGTCCCCTCCTCCTGGACAAGGGGAGACACTGGAATGGACACAGTCCAGCCCTGCTGTGTGGTGGGGAGATGCTCTGGCCTCAAAGGGGAACTTGACTGATGCAGGACCTTGGGTCACACACCACGTGTGTCCCGGCCAGGGGGATTCCACAGTCCCACCAGATGATTTTCTGGAGCACGGGCAGCTGCAGACAGTTCTTCCCTCCCCATGGCCAATGTGAGGGTTTCCCAGGGCACAGGAGCAGGCAGAGGGGACCAGCCCCAGAGAGATCCCACCACGGTCCACTTTGCAAGGGATTGCACAGACTGGGAGCACGGCGCTGGTTTAACTGGTTCCCAGTTGGTGATGTCACCTCCAGCAGACACACTGGGGCAGTCAGACTGGCTCATGTCTTGCTGAATCAACCCAAAGCACCAAGAGCACATGGTGGGGAGGCTCCAGCGCGTGTCATCCGTTCAGCGCCAGGGCAGCCCAGCCCCAGGCAGGCCGGGGCCCGTCCGCTCCTTATGAAACGTAAATCCCCTGCAAGGATGGGTAAGGAGCCACAGCCACCACATCCCTGCAGCCACAAGCCCACCACCACTTGGCCCTCCTTCTGCCTGCCCTGGCCCCATCCAGGCAGCTCCTGTGTCCCCGGGCAGCACAGGCCACCAGCCCTGGGGTGACCACAGCTCAGTCTCTGCTCGCCCGGGGTTGGGCACAGCCCAGCACCTCGGCCACTGCTGGTGCCACCTACAGCCTGGGGCAGCTGTGTCCCCCCGGGGCAGCTGTGTCCCCCCGGCCCAGCAGGACCCCTGTGAACTGTCGAGGAGGCAGGAGGGTGCTGGCAGCTGCCTGCACCCCGCGGCACACAGCTCCCTCCTCGGGGTGCAAACAGACCGCCCAGAGGCTCCCGTTCCCCTTTTCCCTTCCGGTCCCGGGCAGAGTCACCGGGGTCACCAGCCCCATTCCCAGCGAAGGCCGCGGAGCATCCGCGGGGGATGTGCAACTGTGGGGAAGCAGAAAGTGAAGCTCCGTGGAGCTGGCCCCGAGCCGCGGGGTTTGCCGGGAGCAATAGCGGCCACTGCACGGGAGAGGCAGCCGGTGCCCGGGACCTCTCCCAGCCCCGGTCCCCCCAAGACACTTCCCCGGGACCCTGCCAGCAGGTTCAGGGTACCGCGAGACCGGGAGCCCAGCTCTGGCATCCCCACCCCTCAGAGACCCCGGTACATCGGGACCCTCAGTTCCGCATTCTCTCGGGAACCCCCGGCTCTCCATCCTCGCGGGAACCCCCGACTTCTCCACTCTCCGTCCCCGGTGGCACCGGGCCCCCTCCAGCTCCGCATTCCAGGGGCGCACCAGGACCCTCTGGTTCTCCAGAACCCCGGGATGAAACCGGGACCCCCAGCGGCACCGGGATGCCCGGCTCTCCCAGACCTCCAGGAGCACCGGCAGCCGCAGCGCCTGCAGGCCCCGGTAATCCCCAGCCCCCGACTTGCCCCCATCCGGTGGTCCCGGTCCCCCCGGTTCCCGCCGAGGCTCACCCGGTTCTTGACCTCGGCGGAGAGGCCGTAGGACGGGCCCTTGTTGAACTGGGAGCTGCTCATGGCGGGGCGCGGAGCCGGTACCGGAGCGGGGCACGGGCAGCGGAGCCGGTACCGGAGCGGGGCCGGGCGGGGCGGGGGCGGGGCCGGGCCCGGCCCCCCCGCGCTGATTGGACGGGGCCGAAATGCCCAAATAAGGGCAGGAGCGGCCGGATCGTGGTGTGGCTCCGAACCCCAACACTGGGACCCGGGGGGACCCCGGGAGAACCGGGGGGCGCCAGGGGGCATCGGGAGCCCGGGGAAGGCCGAGACCGGGGCTGGAGCCGTCCCGGGCACACGGGTCCACCCACGCACCCACCCACGGGCACACCCACGCACCCACGGGCACACCCACGCACCCACGGGCACACGCGTGTGCATCGCCTTACACACTCGCGTGCACGGGTGTGCGCGCCCCGACCCCGGGCACGCGTTGTGCACACACACACACACACACGCAACCCCGACCCGCGGGCGCTCCCCTGCACACGCACACTCGGTCACTCACGCACACACTCACGCGCGCACCTCTCTGCCCGCACCCACGGTCACGCGCGCACGCGGGGCACACGAACGCGTTCCTCCGCCCCCGCACCCCCCGCGCCTCCACCCACCCACCCGCGCCGCAGTCCCGCTCCCCTCGCCCCGACCCCCCCGTGCCCGTGTCCCCCCCGGGGTCGGCAGGTGGCCCACGCGAGACGGACCGGCCAGGACCGCGGGGGGGTCCCGGGAAAAAGCGGAGTGTCTTTCCCGTCTCGCGGGGCCGGCAGTCGGCCAGGGCAGCCCATGGGCAGCGGCCGGGGGTCCCCACGCAGCACTCGGAGGGGGCCCGTCCCATCCTGTCCCTCTCCAGGGGTTTATTGGCCGCCTCTCCTGTTTTCCCGTTGTGGGGTCCCATTGCCCCGCGGGTGGGGGAGTCACGGGGGCGAGGGGCAAGGCAGTGACTCCGGGGGGCCGGTCCCGGCACCGCCACCGAGCCCACGAAGGGGCAGAGCCGGGAGCGTCCCACGGGTGGGAGCCCAGAGCCCCCCATCCCATTCACCCCCACACCCGGGGCCTCCAGCGGGATGGACAGAGGGACACCTCCAAACAGGGTAAACCTCCCAGTGGGTGGGGGTCCCACAGGGGCCAGCACCGGTCCCGCAGAGTGGGGCTCAGCCCCCACCCCTCTCTAAGCCCTGGGCTGCAGCACTGAAACCCCCCAAAGCCCCCAACGAGCCCACCCTCCCCAGGAGTGCCGGCGTCCACCTGCCCCTCCACGACCCCGCAGGGCAGCCAGGGTGCCCCTGCCCCCGGCCTCGCGCCTGGGTGCGCGTTCGGCTTTTCCTGTTTCAGGTCGGGCTGCGAAGCCGATGAGGAAACGAGGCGGCGTCACACGCGCCCTCCTGACACTGCGCCCCGCGAATGTGGCCGGCGCCGTGAGCAGCCGGCACGGCCGCCGGGCCAAACGAGGGGCTGAGGGCAGCGGCTCGGCCCCCGGGAACCATGTTCTCCCGGAAGAAACGGGAGCTCATTAAAACCCCCTCCATCTCCAAGAAGAGCCGGGCGGGAAGCCCCGTCCCACAGACCCCGCCGGTGAGTGTCCCCCGGTGTCTCTGGCAGGGCGGGGGCCATGGGTCCCTGGGGGTTTTGGGGCAACAGCACCCACAGAGCTGCTGGGAAGAGCCACAGAGTGGCAATGGGGACCTGGATACGTCCAGGAGGTCTGCGAGGAGGAGAAAGAAGACGAGGAAGGACCCAGCTCACTGGGCTGGGGGGACATTTTGCCCCAGATGAGGGGGACAGAGCAGCCGCCGAGGGAGGCGGAAGGGTTGGAAGGGACAGGGAGGAAATGCGGGGCTGTGTGCGAGGGTTTGGGGAGGACAGAGAGATTCCCAAACCTCCCTGGGGACACCGGGCTCAGGCAGCTCAGCTCTGCCATGTATTTATTTATTGACGTGCGGACCCCCCGGTGCCGGAGGGGCCGGGAGGAAGCGCCTCACCTCCGTGGGGCCGGACGGCGGCCGGGGCTCCCCGTGGCACCCCGTGGCACCCCGTGGCACCCCGTGGCACCCCGCACCGCCCCGCACCGCCCGCACCGCGCCTGCGCCCCAGCCCGGGTGCGTGGGGCGAGACGGGGCTGGCACGATGCGGCCGTCGGGGCTCCGGAGCCCACCCGCGGCTCCTTAGCGGGGGGCAGCCGCCCCCGCCCCCGTCCCGACCCCCCGGAGAGGGGCCTATGGGTGGCGGCCGGCGGGATGCTCGGCCGGGCCGCGGGCAGGAACAGCTACAGCCCCTGGGCGGCGGCGGGCAGAGCCCACCCGCCCCAGCGCTCCCTGGACTCGCTGCCCTGCGCGCCCGCCGTGCGACTGACGGTACGGCCGGGGCACCCCGGGGGGAGGGCCGGGGGGTACCGGGGCCGCTGCACCCCGGGGGGAACGGGGACAGGGCCGGGCTGGCCCCAGGCGTTTTGGGGTGGGGCCCTTTGGGTGCCCTTGCAGCCCCGTGGTGGTCTGGCCCCCCCGTGGGGCTGAGCTCCCCTCTGCCCTCGCCCACGGAAGCCTCGTGCTCTCGGCACTCCGTGTCTGCCAAAGACGCTTCCGGCAGCGCCCGGCCCGGGATGCTGAGACCCCGCACACTCGTGTCACACCTGGGTGCCTGGGGGTCCCTGATAGAAGCTGCTGAGTGGGCTGGGGGCTGCAGGGTCCCCTCCCCGTGCTCACAGACCCTTGCTGGGTGCGTGATCCCCAAGCCATGCACGGTCCTGGACAGTGCTGGTACCAACCCCTCCCTCGGGGTAATATTGCCCCTGGAAACTGGGGGCTTCCTCCATCTGTAAAATACTTACCAAACCCCCAACAGTGGCCTGGGAGGTGTCCCTGTCCCTGCCCCCTCCCCCAGCATGGGACCAGCTGAAAAAGAGGAAGGGACGTGTGGGCTGGATCCTGCTGCTGTTTGGCTGTGCTGAGGTCCCCAGTCCACTGGGATGGGCAGTCCCAGGATGGTGGGTGCTGGGGTGGACAAGCAGTGTCACCCACATGATCACTGTGTGCCCCCATGACGAACACAGAGCCAGAGGGACTGGTGGGGGATGGCCAGGCAAGTGCCCAGGCCCTGCCCAGGCCTGGCCCAGACCCTCCCTGCTCTGTCTTTGCCCTGTGGGGTCCCAAGACTGTCTCCAAGGTCCCCAAAGGGGATGCCTGACTGGGGAAACTGAGGCATGGTGCAGCTGCAGGGTCTGGCACCAGCCCCTGAAGACACCACCCCATCCCCCAAGCTGGTGGTGTGGCGAGTCCTGGCTGCTGCCCTCTCCCTGCCCAAGCACGGTCCCCACCACGCTGGCTGTGCCCTCACACTCATCCCCGCTCCCCAGGACCTCTCCCGCAAGGATTGCCTGGAGGCACCAGGCTCCAGCCTGGGGGACCTGCCCGCGGCCAGCGCCAAGCTCAGCACCAGCCCCAGCACCGTGGGCACCCTGAAGCGCCCCACCAGCCTCAGCCGCCATGCCAGTGCCGCCAGCTTCCCCCTGCCCGCGGCCCCCCGCACCATGGCCAAGGGACACAAGACCCCCACGTCCTACAGCCCCATGGAGGGCGGGGAGGGTCCCTTCATCGACCCCGAGGACATCTCCCAGCTGCTGGCGGACGTCGCCCGCTTCGCCGACGCCCTGGAGAAGCTGCGGGACGTGGTGCTGCGCGATGGTGAGTGCCTGGGTGCCCACCCAGTGCCAAACACCCGTGTCACAGCGCTGCAGGGCACCCCAGGGACAGACCCCCCCGTGGGTGGGAGCTCTCTGCTTGGGCCAGAGGCCGCCAGGACCCGCAGGGGGCCGTGAGGCTGCGGGCAGAGGTGGTGGGTGGGTGGTGGGTGAGTGGCTGCCGGAGCTCAGGGCCGGGATAACGCGGCTTCCTGCCGCGAGCTATTTTCATCCGCCCGTTTTCCTGTTTACAGTGCAGCGGTGCCAGCCGCCTGCCAGGGCCCCCTGAGCCCTGCAGGGTGCTGGGCATGGCCCCCCGAGCCCCCAGCCCACCAGGGTGGCCGTCAGGACGGGGCTGGGTGGTCTGTGGGCCCACGAGCGCCTGTCCCTGCCCAAGGGGGCACAGGAGATGCGTCGATCCCATGGCGTAGGGGGCACATGACACTGTTCTCAGCCCTGGTTTTGCAGAAACCCCTTCCAGACCCCGAGCTGGGGGCTGGGTTGGGCAGGGGGCTTTGCCTGGCTGGGCAGTGAGTGCCAGTCCCCCATCCCAGCACCTCCCTGCACAAGGCTCCTCACCCCCTAACCAGGCTGCCAGTGCCCAGCCCTGTCCCGTGCTGACCAGGCCAGACCCTCAGGCTGGCAGCTGGAGCCCATGGAGGGAGGGGACAGTCCTGGGGAAGGACCTGCAGGATGCAGTGAGCCAGGCTGGCATGATGGCAGGACAGACCTGCCACATCCCTCCCATCTGGGAGCGTCCATCCGGGAGGAGGGAGGGAAGGAAACGAGGAGGAAATTCCCAAACTGCTTTCAAGGGGAAAAGTTACTACTGCGGAAAAAACGCCTCAAAGGTTGGGCTTCCCCCCCGCCACCACCGGGCTGGGCAGGAGACACACGGCCAGGGCTGTGGGGAGGTGCTGGACAGGCCATGCCTGGCTCGGGAAGCCCCAAGGCCAAAGGGAGGGGCTGCATGGTCTGGGAGATGGCAGGACCCTGCCTGGCATGTGGCTGGGAGGTAAATGGGACAGGGACGTGGGACAGGATCACAGGACAGGGATGCAGGGCAGGGACACGGGGCAGGGACACAGGACAGGGACACAGGGCTCAGCCCCCTCTCTTGCAGACCCCAAGGAGCCCCAGCGGCCGCTGGCCCACGAGTGCTTGGGCGAAACCCTGCGCATCCTGCGCCAGGTCATCAACAAGTACCCCCTGCTCAACACCCTGGAGACCCTGACAGCTGCTGGGACCCTCATCTCCAAAGTCAAGGGTGAGACAGGGGCTGGGAGCTCTGTCCCACTCCCCTCTTGCCCCGTGTCAGGGTGCGGGGCTGGGGAGCCCATGGGGGGGTTTGCCAGGAGCGGAGCTGCCCCATGGGCTGGCAGAGAAGGCAAAAGCATCAGCTGCTTCTTGCCGTGGTGCAGCTTTAAGGACGATATAGTGTCAGAAATGACAGATCCTGCCTGGGGGTTTCCAGGCACGGCCACAGGAAAAACACTGAAATAATTAGATCCTGCTCCTGGCAGCCCCTCGTGTTTACAGAGCGGGGTCTGGGAGGCCAGGCCCTGGCTGGGCACCACCTCCCTCTGCTGTCATCCACGGGGAGGGGGTGACTGCACCGACCACAGCACCACCTCCTGCGTCAGCCGCCGCTTCCTGGACACCCAACAGCAACCGCAGGGGACAGGAAGGCTCACGGGGGGTGGCGAGAGGGCTGCTGGGGGCTGGCCCCACGTGGGGACGGGAGGGAGTGCACTGGGGGCAGACCCCAGCCCCTCACTGCAACGGGGGGCTCAGTTCCCCCCGAGGAGCAGACCCAGGGGCTGCCCAGGAGCCCTCCCTGGCTGCTGCTTACCCGTGCCGTGGGTGTCTGCTGAGCACTGTCTGCGCCGGTTCCCTCTGCCACCGGCGGTTCCTCTTTTGGCCAAGAGCCCTCCTGGAGGAGTCCATCCTGCTCAGAGCAGGGTCTGGAGGAGCCATGAGGCAGGGAAGGCAGTGGAACAGGTCCAGCAGTGCTTTTCCAGCAGCCCTGAGTAACGGGAATAAACAGAAACATGAGCCAAGGGATGCTGGCAGGGAAGTCAGTCCTGGGAGAAAGCGGGGGGATGCTGTGTTGGAGGAATCCATCATCCATAGGGATGATCCTCCCCACTGCTCCCTCAGCTTGCCCCAGCCCCACCCCAGCCCCACAGCTCCCCTGATACCACCGTGAGCCAGCGGGTCCTTCTGCTGAGAGAGGGACAGGTACACAGTGACAGGGCTCCCACATTTCCTCTTCTCCAGGGTTCCACTATGAATCCAACAACGAGGCGGACAAGCGGGAGTTCGAGAAGGCCGTGGAGACCATCGCTGTGTCCTTCAGCAGCACGTAAGGGATTGTGGGCAGCTGCCTCCACAGCCGGTCCGTGGGTGCTGCTGGGTGACAGCCCGTGTCACTGTCCCTGTGCTGTCTCCTCTCCCCACAGGGTGTCCGAGTTCCTCATGGGGGAGGTGGACAGCAGCACCCTCCTCTCCATCCCTCCCAGCGACCAGAACCAGGTGAGCCATGGGGCTCTGGCTGCTCCCCCAGCTCTGATGGGAGCCCAGAGCAGGGTGTTTCTCCAGAGACATTCCCATGAGCTCCTGGGCACAGCCTGGGCACAGCCTGGGCACAGCCTGGGCACAGCCTGGGCACAGCCAACTTCCAGCAACAGCTGAAAGGCTCCGGCAGCTCCGGGTTCCAGCCTCCCCTCCATCTGCTTGGCTGACCAGCCCCTTTTCTTTCCAAATCCTCAAAGAGTATGGAGAGCCTCTACGGGGGGATCCCAGGGCCTGGAGGAGACAGTGTGCCTGTGGGCGTGGAGAGCTACAACGCGGGTAAGCAGGACGAGGGTGGGTGCAGGGTTTGGGGTGGGGGGGCCTGGCTGAGCAGGAACCGGCGCCTTCCCTGTCGTCGCTGTGATCCTGAGCCACACTTGGCTCCTCGGCTGGGAAGAGGCAGCAGAGCTGTGGCACCGGGGTCGGCAGGACCGGCACAGCACGGGGCGGGCTCGGAGCTGGGGAGGTTTGCACTGGAAGCTCACGGGGTCTCCCCTGCAGCCCGTCCTGCGGCCGAGGAAGTGGACGTGATGCTGCAGCGCTGCGAGGGGGGGGTGGACGCTGCACTCCAGTACGCCAAAACCATCTCCAAGTACATGAAGGACCTGATCTCGTACCTGGAGAAAAGGACCACGCTGGGTGAGCAGGGGGATGGCGGGTGGGTCCCTCTGGAGCAGGGCTGAGCCCCGGGGCAGGTCGAGGTCCCTACAGGAGTCTGGGGGGAGACCAACACTGCCAGGGAAGTGGGAACTTCACTCTTCAAGTTCCTGATTTATCTTTCAAAAGAAGATTGGGTTCCTCCAGGGAATTCCCAGTGTCTCGTGTGCCTTTTCACTTCCAAACTTTTTCTTCCAGAGATGGAGTTTGCTAAAGGGCTCCAGAAAATGGCAAACAGCTGCAAGCAAACCATGAGCCAGGAGGTAAGTCCCCATGTCCCTAAAGCCCCCAGAGCTGGGCTGGATTGAGAGTCAGCAGCCCTGAGGAGCCCATCCCACATGCCCCAGCTCCAGAGCCCAGGAGAACATGCAGGCAGCTCTCCAGAGCTCTGCCTGGAAAAATTCAGGATGAGGCTTTTACCAGCAGCCACCAGCCCCATCACACCTCTGACTCTTCCTCCCCAAAGGACGTGACTCCTTGGGCAGGTGCTGGGGCTCAGGGTGGTGTGTTTTCCCATTTCCCAGACCAACATGCCTTTCCTGTCCATCTACCTGCTGGCCCTGGAGCAGGACATGGAGCATGGGACGTCGGTTCTGCAGGCAGCCAACACCCTGCAGCACCAAACCTTCCTCCAGGTGAGGGGTTGAAGGGTCCTCCCGGGGCTGGTGGTCCTGGCATTGCAGAGGTGGCTCTTCCTTAGCTCAGTCCAGAGGGAACCTGCGTCTGGCACTTCCCAGGCTGCAGATTTTCATCCCTGGCACAAACCAGTGCCTGTGACCTGGCCATGCTGGCAGCAACAGTGACCAGCACAGGGCACTTCTCCTTGCAAAGCCTTGGCAAGGGCAGAGCAGAGCACTCAGCTCAGGGCATCACGGGGCTGTTCCTCCCAATCCAGCCGCTGATGGTGAGACGCCTCGAGCACGAGAAGCGGAGGAAGGAGATCAAGGAGCAGTGGCACCGGGCACAGAGGAAACTGGTGAGTGACTGGGTTTGTGTCGCAGCCTGGAGCACCCCGGGCACGTGCCCCTCTAAGGATGCTGGACCCCCTGCCCCCCTCTGGCAGTGTCGGGTGCTTGGGTGCCTCTGCTGTGCTGGGGGACCCCGGGCAGCCCACGGGAGCTGGTGACTCCCTGGCTGGGTTCCGTCCTCACCCGGGTCACGGCTCACCCTGGCAGCAAGAGGCCGAGGGGAACCTGCGCAAGGCCAAGCAGACGTACATGCAGCGCAGCGAGGAGCACGACAAGGCCAAGTACGTGGCGGTGAAAGCGGAGGAGGAGCAGCAGAACACGACCAGCAGCATCACCACCAAAACCCTGGACAAGAAGAGGCGGCTGGAAGAGGAGGCCAAGAACAAGGTAAGAAGGTGACAGCTCTGGAGGCGCCTCCTTGCTCCTGCTGTCCCTGCACAGGAGCCGCCCTGAACCACGTGGAGTGACCTGAGCTCCCCTGGATCCTTGAGCATGGCATGGGAGTGCCCGGAGGAACATGGTCCGAGGGGCTGTTCTCTGTGTTCTCCTCACCTCTGAGCTGTCCTCATCTCTCCCTCTCCCGACTCCAGGCAGAGGAGGCCATGGCCACGTATCGCACCTGCGTGGCCGATGCCAACACACAGAAGCAGGAGCTGGAGGACACCAAGGTGAACTCGCTGCGGCAGATCCACGAGGTGATCAAACAGAGCGACCAGGTCATCAAGTCGGTGAGTGGGGCTGGACTGGGGTGTCCCCAGGGCAGGAGGTGGATGTGCTCTGCTCCGGAGGGTTCGGAGTGGCCTCCCAGCAGAGCCATCAGGGGCCCAGGTGGGTGCAGAGCTCCGCTCTCCCTCGTGCTCAGAAAAACCGAGGCTCAAGGCTGCAGAACAAGTGCTGCTCCGTGCTCCTGATTGCCCACCTGACCTGGAGCCCCTGGTTCCTCTGCTCCTGATCGCCCACCTAACCTGGAGCGTCTTTTCCCTCTCCTGCTGTACCTCAGCTCACAGGGCTCACGCCGGTCTCTCTCCACGTCTCTTTTAGGCCACCATCTCCTTCTACCAGACCATGCACATGCAGACGGCGCCGCTGCCCGTGAACTTCCAGACGCTGTGTGAGAGCAGCAAGCTGTACGACCCGGGCCAGCAGTACGCGTCCCACGTGCGGCAGCTGCAGCGCGGGGACGAGCCCGACGTGCAGTACGACTTCGAGCCCTACGTGTCTCACAACGCCTGGTGAGGGGGGACAGGGGAGCCATCCCCGGGCAATGCTCCAGCTCGGCCGCGTCCCCCGCGCCATCTCCCGCTCCCGTGGCTGCCCACGCGCTCCTGCAGGAGCCAGGGTGCTTTCAGCATTCCTGAAGGCAGCTCCTGCTGGGAATGCTGGAGTTGGACCAGCTCGGAATTCCCCTCACGTCCTTCGGTGGATGAGACGGGCTGTCGAGTATTTAAGAGAGAACTCTGCATCCCAAGACTGGTGGAGGGCAGCCGTGGATAAGGTTTCCGAGTGTCCTTCCTTCCTTCCCATCCACGTTCCCTTTTCCCCTCCAGGTCCCCCTTTTCTCGGACACGGAAGGGCAGCTTCAACGCCAGCGAGTTCCCCACGAGTGCCGAGGGGGCCGGGGCCGGCTCTGAAGGAGGGGCAGGAGCCAAGGAGGCTCCGAGTGGGGCCGAGGCGGCCGAGCGGAGAGGTGAGCCTGGAGCAGCAGGACGGGCCGGGAGCCTCCCAGGCGGAATTCCCTGAAGGACACTAAACCAGATCTGTGGCGCTTCGCTCCCTAAGAGACCATCATCCATCTGCCCATCCCCTTTTCCTTGCTGGGTGTCACTGGAGGCACCAAACCCCAGCGGCCCCTTCACCAGCAGCTTCCCCCAGACATCCCAGTTTCTCCCAGCATCCACACTGTTCTCCCACTGTTCCCTCCCGAACACAGACAGCAATCCCAATGGACCGTGTGTTCTCTCTGCAGGTGGGAGGGGACACCAGGTCCATAAATCCTGGCCAACCACTGTTGCTGATGCTGAAAGCAGCCTGGATTCCAGTGCAGGTAGATACGGGAACAGCTCAGGAGCCCCTCCCAGTACAGCCAGTCTAAATCCAGAGCACTCCAGTTAGGCTGGACCAACCCTTGTTTACCTGTTGGTGAATGGCTGTGCTGATCCCAATCTCTGATGGGATGGGATGAGTTTTCAGAGGAGAAGCAGCTTTGCCACTGATTCACCAGTTTGTGGTTTTCCTTGGACAGGTGAATTCAGCCACAAGCTCCAGCGGCTCTCGTCCAACGGCACCGTGTCCTCCAGTGAGGAGCTGGAGGAGAAGGATGAGACCACCACCCCCTTTGAGCAGAGTAGGTGACAGTGTGGGAGGTGACAGTGCTGCTGCTGCACCACCCCTCCAGCAGGAGTCCCTGAGGGCCGCTTTTCCCAAATCCAGTAGTTCCAGAGGCAAACCCACCAGTTGCTGGGGATTCCTGACGGTGTTCCTGGTGGCACTGCCTTTCCCAAGGGATGAGCCCTGCTCAGACCAGGGACAGTGACCGCCCTGCTCAAGCTGTGCCTGACCTCACATTTCCTTTTGCTCTGCCCACAGGCATCAATGGGATCAGCCCGGAGCTGGCAGCTCCCACGGGGCCCTTCCGGAACGTTGGCTTGTCCAAGGCTGCCCAGACCCATCGGCTGAGGAAGCTCCGTGCCCCTTCCAAGTGTCGGGAGTGCAACAGCTACGTGTACTTCCAGGGAGCTGAGTGTGAGGAGGTGAGCTGGGAGAAGTGGGAAGAGAGCTGGGGGTGGAGCCCACCTGAGCCCAGCTCTGACCATGTTCAGGAGGCCATTCCTCCTCTGGGGAGGGTTCCAGGTGCTTTCCATTGGTCCTGCAGTATCTCCAAAGCATTTTTCCTGGCTCCCAGCATGCTCTGAGTGATGCCTGGTGTTTCTCTGTAGCTGCCCTCCCACCTCCACATCTTCCCCTCTCTCTCCTAGTGCTACCTGGCCTGCCACAAGAAGTGCCTGGAGACCTTGGCCATCCAGTGTGGGCACAAGAAGCTCCAAGGGAAGCTGCAGCTCTTTGGGCAGGACTTCACAGAGGCATCTCGGGGCAGCCCGGACGGGATCCCCTTCATTGTCAAGAAGTGCATTTTGGAGATCGAGAAGCGGGCTCTGAAAACCAAGGTGAGTCACACTCTCCTCTCTCCTCCTCCTCCTCAGCTGGCTCAGCCCTTGGAAAGATCCCCTGGAAAACCAACGGGCTCAGTTTTGGATTTCTGCAGGGCAGGGAGCCAGGGAGTTCATCCCAGGGATGAACTTGGCCCAAATACCCCAAACTCTGCCCGTGGAAATTCAGCTTTCCTGCCTCCTGCTCTCCTGTGAAGCAGGAATGGCTGAGCTGGAAAAGAGATATCCCAGAATGACTTCCTGGAGGGATTTCCCACCTCAAAAGGAGAGGGTGGGAGCACAGGGCTCACTGTCCCATGCAAACATGAAGAGGAACATCTCCCCTCGCCTCAGCTCCACTTTTCTCTCTTTCCCAGGGCATCTATCGAGTTAACGGCGTCAAGACCCGCGTGGAGAAGCTCTGCCAGGCCTTTGAGAATGGGAAGGAGCTGGTGGAGCTGTCCCAGGCCTCCCCCCACGACATCAGCAACGTCCTGAAGCTCTACCTGAGACAGGTAAGGTGCTGCTGGTACCTCCTGCGGTGGGAGGGACGGGAGGTGGCAGAGGAACCAACCTGGCAGCAGGAATTCCACACAAGGCAGGCTCCATAACCAGGGGGGGGTGCAGAGGGGCCCCTCCCAGCAGGATCAGGTTGGCTGTGGAGTTGGGGCCACAGTGACCCCCCAGCTCAGCCCCCACTGAGTCAGAGCCGGGAACAGCAACTGCAGCACGAACCCTCCGCCCTGCAGCTGGGAACTGGGCACCCCAAAAGGGGAAGGGAGCCAGCAAAGGTCACCCTGCACAGGCTGAGTCACGGCCCCCTGGGCTGGGCTCTGCCCCTGGGGCTGCCCTGGGCCGGGCTCAGGGGGGTCTCTGCCCCTCGGGTCCCCCATGGCAGTCCTGCCCCAGGCACCCCCTCCCTGCACCCAAACTGTCGGTGCAAACAGCATCACCCACATCCTCCCACAGTCACCACAAGGCAGGGGAAGCTGCTTCTCCCTCTCAGGCAGCCGGGGATTAACTCTTTTTGTGCTGCCTTTCTCTGTTACATCGGGGGGGAGCCACGTCCCTGGGCTCCTGCACACCAGGAGCAAAGGTTCTGATTTGCCTCTGTGGTTTCTCCAAAGACAAGTGGAGTGGAACAAGAGGGGTAACTCAGTCCTGAGCCCTGACCTGCTGCCTCGCTGCAGACAAATGGGTTAAAGTCCCTCTGTAAAGGGCTGGCTGGAGGGAACCACCTCTGCTGTGAGGCAGCCTGTCCCCAGAACATCCGTTTAAACCACCCTGAAAACATCACCAGCCATGTGGAACACCCAGCAGTCAACAGCAGCTCCGGCTGCTTCACACAAACTTCAAAGCAGAGCTTCCCCCACCACAGCCCCGCCTTCACCCCAGGCTGTGCCCTTCGCATCCTGTGCCCTTCACATCCTGCCTTTCCCACCCAAAACAACCCATCCCTGTCCTCTTCCCAGCCACCTTCTGTCCGCTGGGGAACCTGCTGCTGGGCCCACCCCACCCAGAGCTTTTCCAGGCAAAAAAAGGGAATCACTGCACCTCGACCCAGCAAGGAGCAGCCACAGGTGGATCAAAGGCTGCTTTTGGCTTGAACTTCACAAGTGCTCCTTGGCCAGGACTAATGAGGCTGGATTGACACGCTCCAGGAGATGGATAAATAAACATCACCTGGGGGTAGAGGGTTTGCAGCACTGGGAGTCACAGACTCGTGGAATCCTGGAATGGAAGGGATGATAAAGCTCCTCTCGTTCCACCTCCTGCCCATGGGGGCACTTGAGGGATGTTTCCTCACCGAAAGGCCCCAGGTGTCCCCAGCTCAGCAGCTCAGGACAGGTCTGGGTCTGGCAGAGGTGGGAGCTCCTGGGACCATCTCCCCTCTTCTCTCTGCAGCTGCCAGAGCCCCTGATGCCCTTCCGGCTGTACAACCAGCTGATGGGGCTGGCCAAGGAGAGCCTGCAGGGCGGGGAGGCCAAGGGCCGGGGCGGGAGGGGCGGCCCCGAGCTGGTGGACAGAGGAGCCGACACCGACCGGGTGGTGCTGAGCCTGGTGCTGAAGCTGAGGGAGCTGCTGAAGGAGCTTCCCTACGAGAACATGGCCACGCTCCAGTACCTCCTGCAGCACCTGAGGAGGTGAGAGGGGCAGGGACAGAGCCCCTGTGGGTGCTGGGAACCTTCCCTTTCTTCCCTGGGGCAGGGAGGTGTGTGCAGCTTCCTGGGGAAGCAACTGCAGCTGCTTCTCTCCCTCTCATGAGGCTCATGTGCTCCAGCCCAGCACTTCCCCCAGCCCTGCCCAGCCACCCTTCTCCCTCCTTGCTATCACAAGTTCCTCCTCCTCCTCCTCCTCCCCAGGATCATGGAAGTGGAACAGGACAACAAGATGACCTCAGGCAACCTGGGCATCGTCTTTGGGCCAACACTGATGCGTCCCAGGCCCACGGACGCCACGATTTCCTTGTCCTCACTGGTGGATTATCCCCACCAAGCTCGTATCATCGAGGCCCTCATCATCTTCTACCCCACCATCTTCGAGCACAAGGAGGTGGCGGCGCTGGCCGAGCCCGGCAGGCGCAGCTCAGGCGCCACAGAGGAGGTAGGAATCTCGGGAGGGGACATTCCACGATGTCCTCTGGAGCCAAGCGAATGAGAACTCCTCTCCTCCGTGCCCTCACCACCATCCCTCTCCCTCCCAGCCCACGGCTGCCCCCAGCACTGTCCCCTACCTGGACCTGCCTTCGGAGAAGGGGAGTTTGGCTTTCAGCGCCGACTCACTCGCAGGTCAGTGAAGGGCACGGGGGGCTCCTGGTGGGTGCGGGTCCCTCGGGAGGCACGGGGGTCACACAGCCCCTTCCCCTGCCCCGGGGACCCCGGGTTGGCTGCACGAAGCTCCTGCGGGTGCCGGGCGGGAGCGTGGACGAGGCTCCTCCGTCCCGCAGAGTCCGGCGACCGCTCCGTGGACTCTGACTCGGAGCTGGAGGACGCTGGGGAGCCACGGACCCACCTGAGCAAACAGGGCAGCGAGACCAGCACGGACGAGGCTCAGTTCTGCGACGAGGGGAGCGAGGGGCCGCGGAGCCGCAGCTGCAGCGCGGGCCAGTCGGACACCGAGGGCTCCGGGCCCCGCTGCTGCAGCCCCGGGGACGAGCAGAGCGACGCGGAGGAGCCCCCCGAGAGCCGCGTCCCTGCTGCCCCCAGGGACAGCACGAGCCAGCACAGCACCCCTGGGGGTGCCAGGGGCCGTGAGCTGCAGCCCCGGCTCATCTGAGCCACCAGACAGAACCACTGTGGGCACTGGGACGGGCAAAGGGGCAAATCCCAGAGACTGCCCAGACACAGAAACCTGGGAGGTGGAGGGGTGGGAGGGATGCTCAGAGCTGCAGGGGCCAGGGGGGTTTGGTGTGTCAGCTGCAGGCGAGTCCTGGCTGGTTCCTGGCTGGAGCTTTCACACAAACCCCCTGAGCCCCCTGGCAGGGGAACGGGGGCACAGCCTGCCAGGACCTGGCTCAGCCCGGCAGCCGTGAAGCACCAGCTCCAGGAGACAGGGGCAGACCCTCCTTGTGTGCTTGTTGAGGACTGGGAAGGAACCCAGGGCTGTGCTGTGCCATCTGCCAGGTCTGGGGATGTTCCTCACTGGCACTGACTGTACCTGGCACCTGGAGCCCAGGATGGATTTCCTGCCCCAAAGCCACCAGGGCTCCCCTGGTACCAGCTGACGGCGTCTGTGTTGCTGCTTGGATCGATGGGCATTTGGATCAATGGGCATTTCTCTCCCTGGCAGGAGCCACGCCAAGAGCAGCCGCAGGCTGTGGTCGGGCTCGGTGGCAGGTTGGCCTGGCTGCAGGGTCCTGAGCACTGCTGAGCTCTCAGGGCGTTGGTTTTACAGTCATTTGGTCTCCAAAGAGCTGCAAGTCCAGGACCAACCCTCTGCTCTTGGAGCTGGGCATGGAGCAGGTCCCCATGGAGAGGTGCTTCTTCCTCCTTTCTCAAGGCCACCACATCCCAAATCCATCCCCAGCCCTGGCCAGTATAATCTTGAGCTTCCTTTTCTGTAAAGAGATGAATCAACCCTTCAACACGACTCCACTACCTCTGCTGGCAAAAGGACTAAAGCCAAAGTGGGTATTTTTTTAAAGCTACGAGACTTTTCTGCACTGAGGCACAGAGAGACAAGTAGATTTTTAGCTGGGAATGAGCTGAGAGCCATCTCCTCCCGTTGCCCTGCCTGTGGGACACAGGGGTGGTGCTGGGGTGTCTCAGGCACCTCAGTACTGCAGGTGATGGACGGGAGGTCTGAGCCCCCCGGGGCTGATGGAGACACATCTCAGCAAAGGTACAGAACCCCAGGTGAACTCACAGGGAACTGGTTTGGGACTGAGCCAGGGAAGAGCCGGAGACCCCCCCGGGAGCTGTTGCTGCCCCGCAGCTCTTCCACAGGACGGTTGGGATTTTCCAGCAGGCCATTCCCAGGGCACAGGGGGGGCTGGGAGTGCTGCTGCCACGGCGGTACCGTGTGTGTGTGTGAGGGTGGGTGAGGATGATGAGGGTGGGTGTGAGTGAGGGAAGGGCGAAGGCTGCGCTTGAGCTTCCAGGGCCACAGCTCCCTCCTGGCTGTGTCCCCTCGGTGTCTGTCCTGCTGCTGCTCAGCACTGTCACGTCCTCGCTGGGGTCACATGGACATGCTTCCAAAAAACCAATAAAATCCGTGTGTTCCAACCCCTGTTTGTCCTGGAGATCAGAGTCTTCCAGATTCCCCTGGCTGTGGGAGGCCAAGCACTGCAAACACAAATGTTCTGGCAGGAAAACTGATGTTTAAAACCCCTCAGAGACCTGGGATGGATTAAAACAAGCGTGACTAGGGGTGATGAGCGACTCTCCATTGTGGGATCCAAACACCACGGTCCCAAACCAGGGCCAGAGGGCAGGAGATCAGGGAAGGAACAAGCTAAGTCTGAACTGCAGCATCCAAAGGGCCCAGGGCAGCAGGTGAGAGCTCTGCAGGGCTCAGCCACGATGCAGAGTCCCAGCAGGAAGAGAATCCAAACATAATGAAAAATATGGGTCTCAAGGCCTTGCCCCAGGGAGATGCTGAGTAACACCAGAGCACTGAGGGTACAAACCTTTATTACAAACCAGAGCCCATAAAACAGGGAAGCAAAGGCCTTTCCCACTCACTTCAGGACTCCACGGCTGAGTCCTGGATGGGACTGAGGGGTTACAGCGAAGTCCAAGCTGGAAAACGAGGAGGGAGGCCCAGTGCCAGGACTGCAGAGAGGCAGCAGGGGAAGAGGATTTCCTTGGCCATCTCTGGAAGGGCAGGAAGCTCCGAGTGCCTGTAAACTGCTGGTGGGAGGGGAGACTGGGAGGTGTCACACAACTCCTCACACCCTGAAGAGAGAGAACTGGGGATGTGGATGACCTCCCCCCTCAGCCAAGCCCACCGAGCACACAGAGGGCACAGGACCCTGAGATGAGCTCAGGGGCTCAGAGCACGGTGCTAATAATGCCACAGCCGTGGGTTTGATCCCTGTATGGCCCATTCACCTAAGAGCTGGACTCCATGACCCTTGTGGGTCCCTTCCAGCTCACAACCTTGTGATTCTGTGAGCAGGTGGCAGGGGAGCCTCCTCTGCTCTGCCCTAACAGCTCCCTCCACAAGCCACTCAAAGCTCTGAGACATTTCCTTGGAAGCAGCTGCCTCACATTGACCCTGGAATACCCCGTCCAGCCCCCAGCACTGCCCAGAGCCCCCCCAGCCCTGGGGTTCCCTGGGCCTTACCCACGCTGGGGTTACTGCACCAGCCTGTAGGTGATGTACCGTCCTGCTGTCTCGCTGGGCCTGATGATCTTCACCACCTGCAGGGCCCCCAGAGCTCAGGACAGGGACACCCCTCCCTGCTCCCAGAGCTCTGAAACACCACCAAGGACCATCCTCTCCCTGGCACAGGGAGCTGCTGGCCCAGCCTGTTCCTCTCACCTGGCCGCGCTTTATCCCAAAGTACCGGGCCACGGGGTCCCCAGCCTGGATCCTGGGCAGCTGGTTCTCCCTCAGTTTGCTGTGCTGGGAGTCAAGGAGGAGCTCTGGATACGCTCATGGAACAGAAAAGAACCGTGGCAGGAATGGGGGGTTCAGCCCAAGGTTTCATCACACCTGAGTAGGAGGGAGGGACATGCACAGGGAACCAGAGGACCATCAAAGGACCATTAAAGGGCCATCAAAGGATACTATCGGGCCAGTAGCTCTGTCACCTCCTCCTTGGTCATGACAACGTGCTCTGGGACCAGCTGCAAACACAGGAGAGGCCGAGATGAGCCAGGGACAGGGACCAGCCCCTCACAGGGCTGGAGACAACCCCCCACCCCACTCACCTCGTGCTCAGTGATGTTGATCAGAAGCTCCTGCTGCAGGAACTGCTCCAGGATGTATTTGGGAGCCATGTCCACCAGGGACTGGAAGGGAAAGGCCAGTCAGAGGGAGCTGGGACAGCCCTGGCAGTGCCCAGAGCCACACCCGGGGTCAGCCTGTGCTCACATGGACACAGCCAGGCTGGGAATGAGCACATGGATCTCCTGGCCCCTGGAAAATACCCCCTTTTCCTTCCCCCACTTCTCAGCTGCTCATGGGCCCTCGGCTGTGCTGCTGCCACCAGGACCAGCTGCTCTGGGTAAAGACACTTTGAGGCTGAGGAAGAGCCTGTGCCAAAGCACAACAGGCTTTAGTGAAAGCCTTTCCCTGTAAGGGAATGCTGGGCTTTTATTCACCTAAAACAGCGCTGAGAAGGAGACAGGGAAAGCCTCCAGCGCCCACCAGAACTTTGCGAGTGGGACACGGCCCCGTCCCCACGCACCTGCTTGGCCGAGGGGGTCATTCCCTGCTGCACCACGATCAGGGCCCGGGTGATGTTCTCCTCCTGCATGCGCTGGCAGTACATCTTGATCGTCTTGATCCCCACCTTGGGCTCCTCTGCGGAAGGAGCCACACCCGGGGTCACCGAGAGCCCCAAAGCCCCTCCCCGCCAGGGCCCCGCCCGGGCCGCGCCGCTCACCGGGGAAGAAGACGAACATCTGGTCGGTGGGGTCGTCGTTGTGAGCCACCAGCACGGTCAGGTCGGTGCGGCGGGGGCGGCCCTCGCTGGGCTTGTCCCCGAACTGCGCCTTGAACTCCTCCAGCGTCTGGTCCAGCTCGTCCTGGGTCACCAGGTACCCGCGGTCGTGGCAGAGCTGCGGGAGCAGCGCCGGGCTCAGGGCTCTGCCGCCGCCCCCGCGCCGGTCCCGTCCCCGGCCCGTCCCGCCCCTCGGCTCCCGCCGCCCCCGGACCTGCATGATGGTCTTGCGGATCTTCCACAGCCGGTACGTCTCCTCCTCGTCGTCCATGCTGCCCGCTCAGGCCCCCGCGGGCTGCCCGCGCTGCCGCCTGCCCCGCGCGCACACAGGCGGCGCCTGGGCGGTCATGGGGGCCTCGGCCGCGGCGCCTTCTGGGAGATGTGGTCCGCCACGGGCCGCCCCCACCGCGGGGACCGGGGGTACCGGGGAGAACGGGAGTATCTCCGCCGCCGGTGGGGCGGGTCCCTGGATCTCTACGGCCCGGCCCGGGAGGGAGGGAGGGAACGGCCGGCCGCGGGGCGGAGCGGGGCGGGGGGGGGCGCGGCCCGCAGCATCTGACACACCCCCGCCCCGCAGCATCTGACACACCCCCGCCCCGCGTGGTCTCGCCCGATAAGCACCCCCACGGCCATCCCGCCCGCCCCGCGCTGCTATTGGTTCAGCTGTCTATCTATCACCCGGCCGAGCCGGCTCCGCGCGCGCTGATTGGCCGCGGCGGCGCGGGGGGGCGGTGCCTGCGCGCGATGCGCTGGGGCCGGGCGGTGCGGGCCGCGCTGCGAGGCGGGAGCGCGGCGGCGGCGGCGCTGCTGCGGGGCCCGGTGCGGAGCATGGTGAGTGCGCGGGGCCGGCGGGGGCTGCTCCCGGGGCCCCCCCGGGGCCGGCGGGGCGGGGGCGCGGACGCGGACGGGGCTCCCCGTGGGCTCCCCGCTGACCCCTGCCCCGCAGTGCGCCCAGGCGGACGACTGGCGCTCGGCCAGGGCCATCTACGACTTCCACGCCCTCGACATCGATGGCAACGACGTGTCCCTGGAGAAGTACCGGTAGGAGGGCAGGGCCGGGGGCGCGGGGCCGGGGCGCTGAGCAGCAGCGGTTCTTGCGTAACCCGGGAGCCGCTGCCGCGCCCGGCGGGCGAGGGGCCTGTCCCCGCTCACCCGCCCCGTCCGCAGGGGCTGCGTCTGCATCATCACCAACGTCGCCTCCAAATGAGGGAAGACCGCGGTAAACTACACTCAGCTTGTTGACC